GTGGAGGTCCTGTGGAGGTACCGTGGAGGTTCCATGGCAAGGGAGAGGTGCTGATCACAGGACAAGCTGGCACGCAACGAAGAAGCGCGCGCCGCGGCGAACTGTTTTTTGTGTGTGTGTGTACACGACGAATGCGCATGCTCCATTGGGTGCGTGTGCGCATCCACAGAGACGTGGACAAAAAACCCCACCTTATTTGCAAGGGAAGATGGGCGGGCGCCGGATGCCACCGGAAACGCGATCAGACGCCCGCCCTTGCCCCGCAGTTTCCGGAAACTAGTACCTCCGAGGTACTAGTTTTTTGCCACGCAGTTTCGGCTGGAAGCCTCGGTTGTGCCACGGGAGTGCTACGCTTCCCAGATGTGCTGGTGAGATCGCGCCCGGAAACTCCGCCTGTTTTCCGTCTCACTTGTGTGGCTTCTGTTCCGTGTGACCGCAGCCCTTATTACCCTTTACAGCTTCCATTACTTTGTTAACCATGCAGGCCTTTTTCTATACCTATTTATGCGTTTCCTAACCTGCAGTACATATTTTCTGAGCTTCTAGGATTGCAGTTTTAAATAGTCGCTAAGCTTCCCCAATGATTTTGACCCCTTTTGCTTTTCCTTTCAGTTTCCTCTTCACATGTCTCCTCATTTCAGAGAAGTCATCCCTAAGTGGTTGTGTTGGCAGAGCAGAAATAATAATAATAAAAAACCAGACCCTGGGGTGTCAGTCCACCCACTGACCAGTTCAGTATCTGCCACCAGCCCCTTGGGCTACCCAAACAGTCAGAAGCAAAGGGACAAACTTCTAACCTTACTGGGGTTAATCAAGGAAGTCAACCCTGCAAGGTAGGCCCCTTGCAGAATGAGTTCCCATAAACAATTAACCAGGTACGTGGTCACTTAAGGGCTAAGGTACTGGAATAGGATTGAAGCACTTGAAACATGGAACACCCAAATATAATCAAAGGATATTTATTAAAGTGTGCAAGAATATTTCAAAAGAACACAGCAGTGAGAACTAAAACTAAAAAGAACTACAGTTAACATGACTAGCTACACATTAGGTCAATTACCAGATGTTACCCTTCTGGGTTGAAGGCAGGCAGCAATTCATGTCTGTCTAGAGATCAGGCGGCCAGGCAGAAGCCTGGTCCATTCGAGGTTAGTTCATCTTCTCATGGTAGCTTGTGTCTACCGTAGCTACAAAGAGCAGTAAAACTAAAGTTTTCAATGCCTGAGATCTGAGTGGGCTGGGGCCCTTAGCCCAATCCAAAACCAGACCACTGAAGTTATGTTGACCTGAACCTGTTAACAACACATGGCTCAGGAGGAGGCCTACTTTATGAAGGGATAGAGGGGAAATCAGCAATTTAACCCACCCCTTCATGTCATGTGAATCACAGCAACAATTGAAGGACTGTGAAATGCCTTGGTGCCAAGTCCTGTCTTGGTAAAAAAAGGGTTCTCTCTGTACCTGAATTGTTATTCTAAGGTCACAAGGTCAATTTGCCAACTCTTCAATACCATCAGCCAGTTGATTTCCATTTGGTCTCTCCCCCATGGCAGGTCTATAGAGTAGTATGTTGCCTGAATTGATTTTAATGACAGAACAAGAAATTAGAATCATAGAATCAGAGTTGGAAGGGGCCATACAGGCCATCTAGTCCAACCCCCTCCTGAATGCAGGATCAGCCTAGAGTATCCCTGACAAGGGTTTGTCCAGCCGCTGCTTGAAGACTGCCAGTGAGGGGGAGCTCACCACCTCCCTAGGTAGCTGATTCCACTGTTGCACAACTCGGTCAAAACGTTTTCCCTCGTATCCAACCAGTACTTTCCTACCCTTAATTTAAACCCATGATTGTGAATCCTATCCTCTGCTGCCAACAGGAACGGCTCCCTGCCCTCCTCCAAGTGACAACCCTTCATAAGAACATAAGAAAAGCCAATGTTGGATCAGGCCAAAGGCCCATCCAGTCCAATACTCTGTCCCACAGTGGCCAAAAATACCAGGAGACATCAGGAGGTCCAGCAGTGGGGCCAGGACACTAGAAGCCCTCCCACTGTTGCCCCCCCCCCCAAGGCACCAAGAATACAGAGCATCACTTGCCCCAGTCTGAGAGTTCCTATCTATACCTTGTGGCTAATAGCCACTGATGGACCTCTGCTCCATACGCTTGTCTAATTCCCTCTTGAAGCTGTCCATTCTTGTAGCCGCCACCACCTCCTGTGGCAGTGAATTCCATGTATTACATGTGGTGGACATGTAATATAGTGCATAAGTTTTGGGTTATGGTACATACTTTTATACAGACAGTTTTGCAGATTTCAGTACCGTTTCAACCATAATTGTTTTTATTGAATTGTATACCAGAGAACTTTGACAGAAATCAAAGATATTTTATAATTCATGTAGTAACTGCAGCTAGAATTTTATTTGCATCTTACTGGAAACTTTCATCAATACCTTCTGAATATCATCTAATACTGAAGATTATGGGATATTAAAAGGGCAAATGAAAGACTTTGTTGGACTATGGACTCGATTTTATAATTGGATAAGAGAGAAATATAAAGATGTGAACTTCCTAATATAATATTAAGAAGCTTTTATGAACTTTTAAACCTCGCAGTTTATCTTTGTATAACATGACATTACAAGTAAAGTTACATGCAGAAAATTATTACTTTTGTTCTTTCCCCCGCCCCTTCCCCCCTCCTCATCCTTCTGTATCCTAAAAACTTAATAAAAATGTATTTTAAAAATTCCCAAGTCCCTCAGCCTTTCCTCATAGGACTTGGGTCTCCAGGCCTCCGATCATCCTCGTCGCTCTCCCCTACAACCGTTCCATTCTGTCCACATCCATTTTGAAATGAGGACTCCATAACTGCACAAAATACTCCAGGTGCATCCTGACCAACGCAGTGTACAGCGGGACTATGACATCTTGCAAATTAGATGTTATCCCTCTGCTGATACGCCCCAAGATCGCATTAGCCTTTTTTGTCACTGCATCACACTGGCTGCTCATATTTAACCTACAGTCCACCCACACCCCAAGATCTTGTTCACACACACTGCTCCCCAGAAGTGCACCCCCCCATATGTGTTCCTCATCTTTATTACCCAGATGTAGAACTCAGCATTATCCTTTGTTAAACTGCATCTTGTTCACATCCACCCACTTTTCCAGTGTGTTCAGATCTCGTTGAATTCTATTTCTGTCTTCTGGTGTGTTCACTGCTCCTCCTCATTTGGTGTCATTTGATGTCATCCACACCTCCACACCCTGACCCAGATCATTTATAAAAATATTGAAAAGTACCGGGCCCACAACCAATCCCTGTGGCACCCCACTGGACACCTCCCTCCATTCAGATGAAATGCCACTGACAACTACTCTTTGAGTGCGGTTCTCCAACCTAATCCCTATTCGTCTAACTATCCTAGCGTCCAGTCCTGACAGGCCTCTGGTTTACAAATCAGAACATCACGGGGAACCCTGTCAAAAGCTTTACTGGGATCCAGGTAAACAACATCAGCAGCATTCCCTCGATCTACAGGTCCAGTATCTTGACAAGTGGCTTGGTGTAGATGACTCACAGGGGGTGGGAGAAAAGGGCTGGTTTGGGGGGTCTGGTCATGGAGAGGTGGCTGATGAATCTGTGGAGGGTTCACAATTTTTGTGGTGGATTGAGCTAGTGTTGAGGGCAGTGGTTCTAGTTTCTTGGAGAGTTTATATTCTACATATATGTTTAAGGGGAACCTCTCTAAATGGGGAGGAAACCCTGCTTCACATGTAAAAATGCTTTCACAGTTGTAGAGGAAGATGTTGTTGATTGAGTATACTGACAAAGTGTATTTTACTTCTGCTGAGGAGCAGGGGAAGGGAGATGGACAGGAAAAGGTTCTCTAATGTGGGAGGTGTACCGAGGGTGGATTACACACAGTGAGTCGGTACAGTCGACAAAACGAGACATTCACACTGCTCCCCACCTACCAATGAAAAAATGCCACAAATCACAGGTATATGGGGGAGCAGTGTGATGATGTATGGAAGGATAAGCTTCTGAAGTTGGCATTAGCAAATTTTACCAGTTTTGGCATCCAAATTACCCCCTACTTAAGGCTTTTGCTTCTAAAATTCTGTCTATGTTTGGGACAACGTACATCGGTGAACAGCTCTATTCTGGAATAAATCTTCATATATCAAAAGTACGTTCACAGCTTACAGATACACACCTAACCAGCACACTCAAGGTTGCTACAGCACAGACACTGACTCCAGATTTTGATGCAATAATTCAGAGAAAGAGAAATCAGTTACCAAAGACTGTAAAATAAAATTAATAATGTAAGGCTGTTAATGATTAAGCATGTTTGCATACTGAGTAAAAAATAATATTGTTAATTGGGTGTGCCTATGTCCTTTCTAACATTCACATCTGTGGTACGTGGCAGTACATTCTATGGCACACATGGCCCAGCAAGAAACAGTGACATTTATGACATATCCTCTAATAATTGAGTTTGAAATCCTTGCTGGGCTAAAGACGTTACATGACTTTTCCTTGTGTGGGTTTTCGATGCTGTTGAAAATAGCAATGCTGACTGAATGTCTTTCTATTCAAATGGTTTCTGCCTTCTGTGGACTCCTTGATGCTGTTGAAGATGGGCACTCGGACTGAATCTCTTCCCATGTTCTGAGCATTCAAAAGGTATCCAAAAAAAAGAGCATTCAAAACCCCTGTGTAGGTCCTTTGATGTTGCTGAAGACTGCTACTGTACTATAACCTCTTCCCAATCTGTGCATTCAAAAGGCTTCTCCACTGTGTGGGTTCTTCGATGACTTTGAAGATTGCCACTGTTGTTGAATCTCTTCCCACACTCTGAACATTCAAAAGGCTTCTCCCCTGTGTGGATTCTTCGATGTTTTTGAAGAGTACTACTCTGACTGAATCTCTTCCCACACACTAAGCATTCGAAAGGCTTCTCCCCTGTGTGGGTTCTTAGATGAATCTGAAGACTGCGACTGTTGCTGAATCTCTTCCCACACACTGAGCATTCAAAAGGCTTCTCCCCTGTGTGGGTTCTTACATGACATTGCAGATGGCCACTGTATTTGAATCTCTTTCCACACTCAGGGCATTCAAAAGGCTTCTCCCCTGTGTGGGTTCTTAGATGAATCTGAAGACTGCGACTGTTGCTGAATCTCTTCCCACACTCTAAGCATTCAAACGGCTTCTCCCCTGTGTGGGTTCTTAGATGAATCTGAAGACTGCGACTGTTGCTGAATCTCTTCCCACACTCTAAGCATTCAAACGGCTTCTCCCCTGTGTGGGTTCTTAGATGAATCTGAAGACTGCGACTGTTGCTGAATCTCTTCCCACACTCTAAGCATTCAAACGGCTTCTCCCCTGTGTGGGTTCTTAGATGAATCTGAAGACTGCGACTGTTGCTGAATCTCTTCCCACACTCTAAGCATTCAAACGGCTTCTCCCCTGTGTGGGTTCTTTGATGCTTTGGAAGACTGCTGCTCTGTCTGAATCTCTTCCCACACTCTAAGCATTCAAACGGTTTCTCCCCTGTGTGCATTCTTTGATGCCGTAGAAGATTGCCCTTACTGCTGAATCTATTCCCACACTCTGAGCATTCAAAAGGCTTTTCCCCTGTGGGGGTTTTTTGATGATGTTGAAGAGTGCTACCTTCATGGAATCTCTTCCCACACTCTGACCATTCAAAAGACTTCTCCCCTGTGTGGGTTGTTACATGTTTTTGAAGAGTGCTACTCTGACTGAATCTCTTCCCAGACTCTGGGCATTGAAAAGGTTTCTCCTCAGTGTGGGTTCTTAGATGTTTTTGCAGAGTGCTACTGTGTCCGAATCTCTTCCCACACTCTGAGCATTCAAAAGGCTTCTCCCCTGTGTGAGTTCTTTGATGCAGTTGAAGAGTGCTACAATCACTGAATTTCTTCTCACAATCTGAGCATTCAAAAGGTTTCTCTCCTGTGTGGGTTCTTTGATGCTGTTGAAGAGTGCCGTTCTGACTGAATCTCTTCCCGCACTCTGAGCATTCAAAAGGCTTCTCCCCGGTGTGGGTTCTTAGATGCATTTGAATATTGCCACTGCTGCTGAATCTCTTCCCACACTCTGAGCATTCAAAAGGCTTCTCCCCTGTGTGGGTTCTTTGATGCTTTGGAAGAGTGCTATCTTCATAGAATCTCTTCCCGCACTCTGACCATCCAAAAGACTTCTCCCCTGTGTGAGTTCTTAGTTGTTTTTGAGGAGTGCTACTCTGACTGAATCTCTTCCCAGAATCTGGGCATTCAAAAGGTTTCTCCCCTGTGTGGGTTCTTTGATGCTTTGGAAGAGTGCTACTGTCACTGAATCTTTTCCCACACTCTGAGCATTCAAAAGGCTTCTCCCCTGTGTGGGTTCTTTCATGCCGTAGAAGGTTGCCCCTACTGCTGAATCTATTCCCACACTGTGAGCATTCAAAAGGTTTCTCCCCTGTTTGGGTTTTTTCATGCTGTTGAAGAGGGCTACTGTCATGGAATCTCTTCTCACACTCTGACCATTCAAAAGATTTCTCCCCTATCTGGGTTCTTTGATGCTGTTGAAGAGTGCTACTATCATGGAATCTCTTCTCACACTCTGACCATTCAAAAGATTTCTCCCCTATCTGGGTTCTTTGATGCTGTTGAAGAGTGCTACTGTCATGGAATCTCTTCCCACACTCTGACCATTCAAAAGGCTTCTCCCCTGTTTGCGTTCTTTGATGCTGTTGTATAGTGCTACTACCACTGAATGTCTTCCCACACTCTCCCCGTTCAAAAGTCTTCTCCCATGTGTGAGTTCTTAGATGACTTTGAAGATGGCCACTTTTGCTGAATCTCTTCCCATACTCTGAGTATTCAAATAGTTTCCCTCCTGTGTGGGTTCTTTGATGCTGTTTAAAAAGGAAACTATGACTGAATTTCTTTCCACACTCTGAGCATTCAAAAGCTTTCTCCCCTGAGTGGAACCTTTGGTGCACAAAAAGCTGTGATCTGTATCTGAAGTACTTTCCACACCGAAAGCATTTATATGCCTTCATTATAGTGTGCTTTGAAAAATGTATATTATCCTTTTTTCCTTCCAAGAACATCATTCCACTCTCCGAAAAGATAAAGTGCTTCTTTCCTGAATGAATTCTTTGGTGTTGAAGGTCTGATTTCTTTGAGAAGCTGTTCCCACAGTCAGAGCAGCTATAAGGTTTCCCTCCTGTACGTCTTCTAAGATGTCTAAGGGACTCTGCTCTGCGAATTATGGCCTTTCCACACTCCAATCATTGACGGGCCTTCTTTCCACTGTGCATTCCAAAATGGATATTATATTGAGTTTGATCAGAGAAGTTCATTCCACACTCCAAGCACCTGTATGTTTCCTCCAACATGTGAACTACTTCTTGGAAATCCTCCCCTAGATAAGGAATGGATTTATCCCTCTTCTTTACTCTGTGGCTGACTTTCTGCCTCTTAGGCCTGCCTTGAATCCTGATGTTTCTTCTCACATCTTCATTCCTGACTTCATCTGGCAATAGATGGTGCAATTCTCATCCCTCTGATCATGCCCTGCTGGAATAAAGAGGGGGAGAGAGATAAAGAGAGAGAGAGAGAGATCCTGTTAGAATCCACACAAGGAAGAACCTGAAGTTCCAGCCACACTCCAAATATTTCAGTGGCTTCTTCCTGCTGTGCACTGAAGCGTACAATCAAATACAAAGTACATTAAGCCTCCTGCATCAGAGATGCTTGGTTTGGACTCTGACCATTTCTATGGCTCCCCACCTGTGTGACTTCTTTGATGTGAAGGGCTCTTTTCCAAAGGAAGCTTTCTGCACCCAAACAGTTATACAGTTTCTCTCCACAAAATGACATTTATTTTATGATTGAAAGTCCTTGCAAAGGCCACACTTCCATTTTCATTTTTCCTGGAGTGGATTATCTATTTAGGATGAAGGCCTTTGTTCCTTCTTGTTTGATTGACCTTTCTTCTTGGATTGAGATTTCATGGAAACCCCCTCCTTGGCAAGGAATGAGCTTTTCATGGTCCTAAGGCTATGGTAGTGCACCCTACAGGCTCTATGGAGGCCCAGTGGCTACAGAGAAGCCTGTAGTAGAGTAGCTATCAGGGCCTACACTTGCCAGGTCTCCTTTGGACACTGTGGTTAGCTAACAGGGGATTCAGTGGGAAATTTGAATCCAGTAGAATCGAATATTCAAAGTCCTAAAAGATGGTGCTGTTAAAGTGCTACACTCAATATGCCAGCAGATTTGGGAAACTCAACAGTGGCCACAGGATTGGAAAAGGTCAGTTTACATTCCAATCCCAAGGAAGGGCAATGCAAAGAAATGTTCAAACTATCGCACAATTGCACTCATTTCACACACTAGCAAGGTCATGCTCAAGATCCTACAAGTTAGGTTTCAGCAGTACGTGGATAGAGAATGCCAGAAGTACAGGCTGGTTTTTGAAGAGATAGAGGAACTAGAGATCAAATTGCCAACATTCACTGGTTTATGGAGAAAGCAAGGGAGTACCAGAAAAAAGTCTACTACGCCAAAACCTTTGATCATGAGGATCACAACAAACTGGGGCAAGTCCTTAAAGAGATAGGAATACCAGACCACCTCACATGTCTCCTGAGAAACCTATATAAGGGTCAAGAAGCGACAGTTAGAACTGGATATGGAACAACTGATTGGTTTAGCATAGGAAAAGGAGTATGACAAGGATGTATACTGTCACCCTGCTTTATATGCAGAGTACATAATGCGAAATGCTGGCCTGGATGAATCAGAAGCCAGAATTAAGTTTGCTAGGGAAAACATCAACAACCTCAGATATGCAGATGATACCACTCTAATGGCAGAAAGTGAAGAGCAGCTAAAGAGCCTCTTGCTGATGATGAAAGAGGAGAGCGCAAAGGTTGGCTTGAAACTCAACATCAAAAAAACGAACATCATGGCATCCAGCCCCATCACTCCTTGGCATATAGAAGGGGAAGTCATGGAAGCAGTGACAGAATTCACGTTTCTCGGATCCAAATCACTGCAGACCGTGACTGCAGCCATGAAATTAAGATGCCTGCTCCTTGGGAGGAAAGTTATGGCAAACCTAGAAAGCATAATAAAAAGTAGAGACATCACCCTGCCAACAAAAGTTTGTATAGTCAAAGCAATGGTATTCCCAGTCGTAATATATGGCTGCGAGAGTTGGACCATAAGGAAGGCTGAGCGCCGAAGAATAGATGCTTTCGAATTGCTGTGCTGGAGAAGACTCTTGAGAGTCCCTTGGACGGCAAGGAGATCAAATCAGTCAATCCCAAACAATACGCCAAGGTTATGATAAATGGAGATCTTTCACAAAATATTGAAATTCAAAAGGGAACTAGACGAGGATGCCCATTATCTCCATTATTATTTATATTCACTCTTGAAATATTGAATGATATGGTAAGTGAAAACATCCAGATTAAAGGACTGAAAATTAGAGGAGAGGAATAAAAACCACAAGCATTTGCAGATGATTTAGTGTTTATCTTAGAAGAACCACAAGTATCTATTATTCAACTATTGAACTCCCTAAAAGAATATGGAAAGAAAGGTAGACTGAAAATTAATTTCAAGAAAACAAAAATATTGACAAAGAACTGTACCAAATACCAGATACAACAGCTACAAGATAGCTCTGGCATTGAAGTTCAGAAGAAAACAAAATATCTAGGGATAACTCTAACTAATAGGTGCAGTTTGTTAAAAGACAACTATATGAAAATTTTGACTGAGATCAAAAAGGATTTGGAAAATTGGAAACATCTACAATTATCCTTTATGGGAAGAATAGCCATTGTAAAGATGAATGTGCTACCTAGACTCCTTTTTTATTTCAAACAATTCCAATTTTGAAAAATCAAAAATACTTTAAGGAAGTAGATAAACTGATATGGCAATTTATTTGGCAAGACAAAAAACCCAGAATAAAATTGAAAGTATTACAAGATACAAAGGAAAGAAGAGGCTTGACAGTATCAGATTGGCATCTCTCCCTTATCTCTCCCTTATTATATTTGAGTAGTGGGTGCCAAAGTTCTAATTCTAAAATGCACTCCCTTAGTGTATGGCTGATGGAACTGCTCCTCAGCATATATCGCCACCAATCAGAAGGCAAAGCCCGGGTCCCGCCCACACCACAACTGCTGCGACTGTGTACCTCACCGGACGCCATTTTCATTTTGCTCGATGAAGAGGATTACGAGGGCACTATTGATTGGGTGAGCTGCCTTCCCCAGCACCCGCTCAAACATGGGCGACGGCGGCAGCCTCCGCTCGCCCGCCTTGCCCCCCGCCCGCAATCCCGGCCTGGCGACCGGCCTTCGGGCGATCGCCTCGCTCCCCCTCACACACTCCAGGACCGGCAAGTGGCGGCTCCGGCCTTTGGGCACCCGCGTCGCCCCCCCCACACAGTCCCGGCCCGGCGAAATGACTTGCCCACCCTCCCGGCCCCCCGAAATGGTGGCTCCGCCCTCCGCCCGCCCGCATCG